TTCCATATGTCAAGATACATAAGCCTTTGGGTGTATGTATCTTGCTAATAAAAACCATAGTATTATTTCTTCTCAAAACTTCTGAGATCAGTTATTTTGAGTTTGGTAAATCACAGGTAGACTTCTCATTAGCCATTCTCTGAAGAACTTGCATTTAAAGTTGACGAGAACTGAAGTTCACTTGTCATCACCTTCATACTGGTATCTGACACATGTAATGCAGCAGGGAAAATAAAACCAGTGAGTGTGGTCAGTGTGGCCTTTTAATGAAAAATGTAGAGGAAGCCATTTTGTAAACTGAGCCTGATGTGAGGGACCTAGTTATTTAGTGCTGGTTTGAATAAAAAGCTGATTCCTAATACACTAATAGAGAAAACTTTCTCCTTTTAACAGGTCTGCATTTTTTATGGTTTTGTTTCAAAAACCATTTTCTTCTGGAAAAGTGGTAACCAAGCGTCAGGTGAGTTGACAGATGTAATAGTGATTCGTGTCTTTGTAGATATTCTTGACAACGTGGCTCTTGCCAGAAATGAAAGCAGAACAAAGGTTACTCCACTTGGAAGATGTGGTTGCAATTTCCGGAAGTGTGTAACTAACTTTGTGTCTAGTGCACTGTGAAAAACATTCAGCATTTTTAGCTTTTGTCAGCTCCTTTTGAGAGTATCATGAAAAGATTGGTCCTTGACTCCATACGAGCATCTGTTTTGAGGACTGGTTTTCAAAAAGAGCTTAGTCTACTTAGCTGACTTCAACAGTTCAGAAGGGCAATTTCTGGACTGACAGAATGTTGAAGTGCTCCAGTCATGTCCCCCATATGTCAAAAGAGTGCTTTCTGCACTGTGTGTGGTGATGAGGGGCTAGTCTAACTGCTCTTCAGACCTGTGTTGAGTTCCCAGTATCCTGAGAAGTCAGAGTAGGGCCAGGTTGGAACCCACTGTTTTGTAAGAAGTAGATGTTCTTCACCTGCTCTGTGTTCATCTTTGTTTTATGTAATTGTGCAGAAAAACTTGATCCATGCACTGTGTTGTCAGTGTATGTGCTAAGTAGAGAGAACCTGAAGGGTGGCCTCAGAAGTGTTCCAAATGTCAGCCGCTTTCATGATTAGACATGAATGGCAGAATTTTAAAATGTGAACAGGAATAAATTGCATCTTTGATTTGTGTTCAGAAAAATCTGTCCATTTATGGTTTCACTATTGCTAAAAATTTTTAAATTCTGGACTTTGAAGATGTGGTGTTCATCATAGGCACTTTGTCTTGTTTAATGTATTTCCAAAATGAATAACTTTTCTTCAAAAATTTGCATTTAAAGATAATGATGTGTTGAACAGCTGAATGATAACCTGCTTCCTGAAGAAAGAATTTAACACATGCGTAAATATTTGTAGACTTAAGGTCTTGGTCTTTTTATCTTGGATGTTTTATCTAGTTCTATATATGTTTATCAGATATATACAATAGATTACAAAATAATCAGCATCTTTGACAGGTAAATGGACTTGATTTTTTTTCAGGCTTTTTGTTAAAGAGATCTCAAAATATACTCTAGAATCTAGTACTGTGGTAGAAAATAAATAAGTAATTCTGGTTCATAATATGTCCTAACAAACCTTAGTTACCCAGCAAAGAAGGTAAGAAGATAATCATACTCTAAATTTTACAGAACTTGCAGAGCATGTGTTTTCTCCTCTATTTCTACAGCTACTGTGCTAGAAGAATGCTAATAGTGGGGTATTTATTTTGAAACTGTGGAGAAAATTATAATGAAATACCTTTCTTTTGTAGTGGATCAAAATTTTTAAGCATGCTGTTGTGGGATGTATCATTTCACTCTTGTGGTTTTTTGGCCTTACTCTTTGTGGACCACTGAGGTAAATATATAGATTCACTGTAAAGAATGTTTTCTCTTTTTAAGCTAATTTTTGTGATCTTTCCCTGTCTTGCTCCTTTGTTTTTTGTTTTCTGTCCATCAGCCCATGATGCCAGCCTCTTGCTTTATTTTTTGAGATTTTAAGTGAATCTTTACGCTTTTTCCTGTCAACTCTGTTGTGCTTGGGAAAAGCTACATAGAATTTTCTGTAGAACTTGTAATTTTCATCATTCATTCTTTGACAAGAGGCCAGTGAAATTCTTGGTAGTGCTTAAACGACTGATGTGAGTGACACAAGAAGATCATTGACTGGTTTACTGACTAGTTTTCATTGTTTCCCTAGTCTCATTTATGTAACCCCAGTTTATTTAACTGTTTGAAGTCGATGGCTTGACAGCTAGTGATAGCAGCTTGTATTCCTGTGCCAGGTGACTGGAATCAATTACTGCATTTGTTGCAGGGCACTGCTTTGTCTGGTCACATGCCTGTGCCGTGTTGGAATTGGGTAGCATTAGTGCATATACTTCGAGTAAAATTACTTGTGCTGTTTGTTAGTGTTACTGAGTAACTATAAAAGAATAACGTTAGACTTCCAAAAATGAAGGTTAATGTGTTAGAAAGCATCTTTCATTAGAGAGAGGAAGGTAAAGCCTTAAATGATACATTTTATGAAGTTGAAGTTTTATCCTCTGCACAAGAGAAGGCATACCTGAGAATAATGGGATTTCTTTAAGAAATACTGTAGTGCCTTTCTGGATGCTGGCAGTCTTCCCAAACACAACCAGTAACGTGGGCCCTAGCAGGTTGTATTGCTATGCAGACAATGGCAGAAGCATTTGGTAAACTTGACAGCGTTTATTACTTCCATGTTCTGCTCTGGAAAGCTGTCAATATAACTTGTTAGTCAGCCTTTGCTATCTGAAGGATAGCAAAGTGCAAGTTAAAATTTCTTATTTTCAGCAATTAAGAGGCTCTGAGGTTGCATAGACTGCTAGACCATCAGCAGTTCAATAAACAGGATGTAATACAACGGAACAGGACCTCTTTTCTTTGGGAGCCAGAAACTTTGGTTTAGAGGAGGTATTGTAATGGGAATAATAATTCCATCTTGAGCAAGTTAGTATCTTCTTGTGTTACTACAAGAAAGTACAATTTAAAGTAATCTGTAAATGAATAACTTTAATCTGTTCCTTGAGTTAGGAAGTTCTTTGTTTTGTGATATGTCTAGCTGTCTGCAGCTAGATCTATTGCTAGTGAAGGCAAATAGATTTGCATTTATCCTTTTGAATTGTTTAAACTTGCTGTTGAAATCACAGGATAAATCTTTGACTACTGTGTCATTGAATTTTAGTTGAAATAATATATATCAAGCTTGTGAGGTAAACTCCTTGTAAGCGGATATAATTGTTTGTTTCACTTTTTTATAGGACATTGTTGCTGTTTGAGCACAGTGATGTGGTTGTGCTGTCACTCCTTAGCGTCTTGTTCACAAGCTCAGGTGGAGGACCAGCAAAGGTATTTAAAAATTTATTTTACCATATGTAAAAAATACTGAATGCTATGAATTCAAGTACTTCTTCACCCAGAACAGTGTTTTGGACCTATGTTCACAGAAACTGTTCTTTTTTAAATTTAATTAGTGGTGAAATGATAAGATGTACTACTTGACTTAATCAATATGGCATTAAAAGAGAAACACTGGGTGAAGCTGTTGAAGATCCATAGCAGATACCTGACATTTTTTTCTGTTTGTAGGCAGAAAGGAACCTTGAGAATGATTTTTGCACTTCAGCATTCTTTGAAATGGGATTTTGGGTTTGAACTCACAGAAGGACATGGGTGTATATAGTGGTCCTGGCCTTTAGGCATGGAAGTCTGGCAATAGGGTCTCCAGATCCTTGCCTAGCCTCTTCAGTGTCTGTAGCTTTTCACATACTTTGCTTTTTCTGCCAAAAAGTTCTCTAAGTACTTCAGTGTCTGCATGAGCCTATATGTGCTGAGTACTTAGGCCCAGTCTTTCACTTAATTAGAGATCTATGCTTGAAACATCCTTTGTCTGAGTCCCATTACATGCAATTTTGCAAGGTGTTCTCTAACTGTGCCTAATCAGCCCTAAATGGAATGAGCTCATCCCAGCACCTAACAGTCTTGGGCACTTTCCCTCAAAAACAGTGGTAGTTGGAGAAAGGTACCTTAGGATGTCATATACCTGAAGCTAGAGTACTTGCTGTGTAAGAGAAAGTCTGGCTTTGGTGCCACCTCAGGCTGGGAGTTTTGAAATCTCTGTCTCATAGCTGCTGCTGGAGTCTCCTTATCGCTTTTAGGCTGGCCTTAGAGTGAATAGCACAGTCATCTGCTCTGACACTCTACCCCCATCCCCTTCATCCAGCATGAAGCTCTTCACCTAGAAGACAAATTTTTTCTCCAGCCATCCACCCAAAGGGTAAATGTGAAGCTTCAGAGAGGTTGGTTGTCAATGTGTGTATTAGTGGGCCATGCTTGACAGTTAAATTGCACGTGTAAGGCAGCAGAAACAAGGGAGCAATAACCCTGTCCTCTGAGTGTTTCAGCTTTATGAAGTGAACTGTGACAAAGAGAAGTCAGCTGACTTTCTGAAACAAGAATGTGATAGCTGCATTTGGCTTCAGAAGATGAATTGTAATAGTGGTTTTTAGCTGTAGAGCTCAGTGTTTTGCCACGATGATGAATACCAAAATTGCAGTGTTTTAAGTCAGGGTGGTGAAAACCTTGGGAGCTGGGATTTCATAGTTACCTCTATCCCTTCCTCACGAAAGCACTGCAAAGCTCTGCTTTCTCAGAGCCTTTGCACAGTGCTCTAGCCTTTACCTCCCATAAGACAGAATACTACAATTTGTCCACTAGATCTTTTTTATAGCTCCTTGATGCTGCAAAATATTAAATCATCGGGCTTAAGTAGCTCTGCATTCTGGCAGGCAGAAGCACACCATGAAGAAGGAAGCAATCACACTTGAAGTTTGTAAGATACAGGATTCTGGCTTGTTACAGTGGTGATTTGTCCTGCATTATCTGGTAAATCTGAAAAACGGAATAAATATAAAATTATATTGTTAAGGTCACATTTTCAAAAAAATGTCTTTTTTCCTCATGTTTTTCTTGCTGAGCTAAAATATGTTTACATTGATCAGGAAGAGGGGGGGAGGGAGAAAGCCGATTTCCTGGATTTTCTTACAGTAATCTGTTACAGAATATTATAAAAGTATTTGGTGTTTTTTGTTTTGTTTTTTTACAGACAAGAGGTGCTGCATTTTTCATCATAGCTGTCATCTGCTTACTACTTTTTGACAATGACGACCTCATGGCTAAAATAGCAGAACATCGTATCCTTTCTTGCTGTGTCTAAGAGCAAGTGCCTTTTATTACTGGAGCAGAGAGAATGTGAAGTTGAATGCACTGAATTAAATATGCTTGCATTTTTTCTGTAGGAATCTTACCTTTCAAGAATATTATAGCATAAGATTTTACTTTTACATCTAAATACTGATATTTATGGCCAAATGAATGGCATTGCTTACTTTGTTGATAACTTAGAACACAGCTGCAGATTTTAAGCTGTAGTTAAAGGCTCCCTGCCCATTTGCACCTATTAGACCGATTAGGACTGCTAGAAGCTTTTTTGATCAGCTCTCATTTTTTTTAGAAATTCTAGACATAATGACTGTAGCCTAAGTGCGTGCAGTAAATGGTTGGTAGCCTGCCTGGCAGTCTTTTTGGTATATCCAGAAAGATTGTTCTGTGGTTTTGCAAATGTGGTAATCTCAGGTCATCTGTTAAGCTGAAAAGTTGATGTGAAATAGCCTGCAGTAGCTCCAACAACAATGGACTTTAAACTGCAAATGGAAGCTAGCTAACATGCTTTCAAAGCCACTGAGTTAATTGGAAGTGATTCTGAAGTAAGTTTTCAACAGGTCTTCTCATGATAGTGAAGTGACAAAAAGTGATACATCTAAGAATGGGTGGTAAAAACAAACAAGGTGAAAGTAAACTTTCTCAAAGAAGGATGGAAACATGGAATTACAGATGTAAATGGTATATTCAGGAATAGTATGAATTAATCCACTGAGTTTTCAGTGAGTAAATTCATTGTTGAAGTGCCCTCTGGTAGTTTTCCCAAAAGCTATCATTATTTTAATCTTTGCTGGATTGTGTTTGTCAATTACTCTTTGTTTTCTAAAGTTTAAATATTTAGAAACTGGAAAGATACAGATCATATTTTAGACACCTCACTGTTTTAATGCTTTTAGTGAAAATTAGTCTAATTTTTAATGCTGTTGAGTATATTTTTCAAAACCTGGTTGCCAAAATTAACATAAATCCTGTATCATGACTACTGTGCAGTATTTAACAGTCACTATCTTCTCATGTTTTAAAATACTCTTTTTTTTTTTTTCCCAAATATTTTTAACTATTTATTTTCTGTGGAAATACTTTCATCTTTCCTAAACTTTAAGGATCTGACGAACCTTAATGCTCAGTTTGCTTACTTCTGCTTCCCGTGGTCTTCTGCTACACCTACCTGTTCTGTGGCCTAAAAAAAAATCATCAAATGAAACTCTTCCTTAATTTTTTTTTTTTATTTAGCTGAGGGGCATCATGACAGTGCTCTTACCCATGTTCTGTATACAATCATTGCTTTCCTGGGTGTTGCAGATCACAAGGTAAAGAACTTGTATTTTAGCAGGTTAATATTTATCTGAGTTTTGTAGGTAAGAATTTCACCAGCTCAGAGCTAATCCAAGCCTAAATCAAAACCAGAAAGTTCAGTATCCCCACCCCATATTGAAACTGAACTAGCACTGTAATTTTTACATCTTGATTGAGTACAAACAGCTTCAATACAGCGAGCCAAACCATGCAATGTTCAGCTTGTATAGCTGATAAGGACTTGGCTGTAATGCGTAACCTAAAAAGTCTTATTAAAATGATCATAAACTACTCCATGTCATCACTGTTCTGGATGTTCGTAATGCTTTGCATACAGTACGTTTCTTGCTTACTTTTGGGGTCTGTGTTTTGTTGCTGCTTCTTTATCTTTCCCCGGTCTTTCCTTTACATTAGATGCTTGCATTTGAAGACACGGTTTCTGATACTTTTCAGCAGTATAGTCCCATTGTAATTGGCGGCATGAATGACTGAGCATCAAAATCTTACTGTATGGGATTGACCTGGCTGATTGAGTTGTTTTGTTAGCTTAGTCTTGTTGCTAAAGTGGCTGTGCTGAGGACTAAAACAGGAAAAAAAATATATGGAGCAGCTGAGAAAGTATTAATATAAAAATAAATCAGATGTTAGAGAGACTGGTTAACTGTGTGCAAAGCAAGCGTCATCTAAGGGAGATGAGATGCTGTATGTGTATCTTGTGATTCATTTATAGAACAATTTTGAAAGAAAATACTGTGAAGAAATATGGTATGGTGTGATTAAAGGTAAGTGATTGAAAAGGTTATGAAAGGATTAGAGGCCAAGGTGACATGACAGGTTGGGGTTTACGTATACTTTCAACACTTTTTTAATAATGGAAGATGGGAAACCCAGTTTTGCGTCATTTTTCTTTTTCCTCGTATGCTGTTCACTACCAATTCACTGGTGTTGTATGTCAATTAACACTATTGAGAGTTTTAAACTTAAAGTCATACTAGGCTGTTGTGAATAGTGCTGAGGTATAACCGTGTATGCTATATTACTGTTTTTAACTAGAGTTAACAATTAGAGGAAATGCCCTGTCTATGGCTTTTGTTGATAAGTTAAGGAAAGCATGTTAATCTTTTTTCATGGAAGCGTCACTTTGTTTGGAATGAGGTATTTGGCTCTCAAGAAATGCTAATGAGATCCTTCTGTGTGTTTCCAGGGAGGAGTACTGCTTCTGGTACTGGCATTGTGCTGTAAGGTTGGTTTTCACATGGCTTCCCGAAAGCTCTCTGTAGATGTAGGTGGAGCCAAGCGTCTTCAAGCTTTGTCTCATCTTGTTTCTGTCCTTCTGTTGTGCCCATGGGTCATTGTTCTCTCTCTGACAACAGAGGTAAGATAGATATATAGAGATATATATATATAAATAAATCGTTTTTATAATGCTTCTGCTTCTGAAGTGCAATTTAAATCTTTCCTTTAACATATCTTTCAAATTACCAAAGTTGCCGTCTTTATTTTTCTAGTAAGCGCTGTTTGAAATTTTTCCTCTGTATTTTGGTGTATATCTGCATGATACCTTAATTTCCTTTTTTGTGTGATAACTTTATTTCATCTTTCTAGCTCAGATATTATATCCTGGATTCATATACTAACATTGCACAAGTATTAATGATTGTATAAATACAGGGCTCTCTTATTCCTAAGGAGCAGATTATTGTAATTTAAAGACATGTTCGTTATGCCTGCATGTCTGGGGAGAGTCGACCATTGCAAACATGACATTGCATGTGGCATTCCTTTTAAACACATGGAAGTATTTAAAATAAAGTACTGTAGTGCATAGTAGCTATATGTGTCTTTCTATAGCTGGAATGTTGGTTTT